GTAGAAGAGGAGTATATCTTCTTGCCGAAGAAGTCTAGCTTTTTATGGTCCTTGTCCATATTGCCATTTTTGTATTGTGGCAACTTTGCTCTTTGCTGTGCTGATTCAACAACTAAGGAGTTGGCTTGTGGATGTGTAAACAGGAAATCATTGTCTTTTGGTGGAACGAAATATTTTCTGTCAATCTTTTTATTAGTCGGCTGTATGGATGCGGGTGTCTTCCACAGATCCTCAGATGTTTCCATGATTGCCTCGTCAATTGGCAGGGCAATCTTACTGTGCAATGTAGGATGCAGGTTCTTTAACAAGTGATGTTGTTTCTTTTGCATTTCTTGGAGGGAGACATGCTGACTTGTCGCTACTCGCTTGAATAGTTCTTGAAACTGTTTGAGGTTGTCAATCGCTACTGTATCTGATGGTATAACTGCCTCGTCCTATTGGGCACTTAGGTCGTCAGGGTGTGTGATGTTTATTGATTGAATATTGGATTCATTGTCTGAAATTCGTTCCTCCTCCTCCTCTTCTGTGTCTGTTGCCGGAGGTAGGGGCTGTAGATGAGGCAGGCTCCTTCGAGATGGTGTGGAGTGGGCTGAGGACCGGCGTCTGTATGGGTCCCAATGATCCCAGGGTCCCCATTGGGGTGGGTAAGACCAATAAGGGTGCCATGGGCTTTGTTGTGGTCCAGCCCTATGATAGTATAAGCGAGACCCCCTTGGTGACGTGTGTCGTGAAGAATATGTCGTGTGTCGGTCATCATCCTGTAAGGGAGCGTCTTGCAAGGACATTGCAGACATAGATCTGGGAGGGGAAATGCCTTGCCAAGGAGCTCCCAGGTGAGCAGTCAGTGGGAGGCAGGCATGAATGCTGCTGCCTGCTGTGAGTGTCAGACGCTGTGTTAGAGTGGTCTGTAGCAGACTCATGAGGGTGCCTCTCGCTGTCTGCTGCCGGCACCGGTGTTGAGATCTGGTTTACAGTTGCAGCCGGTGCCGGCTGTGTATGAGGTTTCTTTTGGTGCGATGCCGAGGGTTTGAGCGGCACCATCCCTTTAAGCTGTGCCGGAGTTTTCCGCGGTGCTGGGGCTTGAAGTGGCGCCAGGGCTTGCAGCGGCACCGCGGTTTGAAGCGGCGCCAGCTTTTCTTTCCGCCCCGGGTGGTTAGCGCATTCCCGGGACGGCTTGGAGGCAGCGCACACCGGTCCCGGTGCCCAAAGGGAGGATCTTCCCTCTGCTTTGTTAGCAGGGGTCCTCGGACTTCCTTGCCCCTTTCCCTGTGTCTTTGGGGAGGAAGATGGTAAGCTAACTAATAGAAATGCAGTCTGAGAGACTGAGAGGGAGCTCCTACTCGCTCCGTCTGCTGACGAGGGCGGTTGAAGAGGAACTGAAAGGGAGGGGGTTGAGCCGCACGCTGCAGAGGGCGGGAAGGGCTCGAGACGCCTTCTGAGCATGCGTGGCTCAACAGGGGGGGAAACTACTTTGCAAAGCTCCGATCTGTGGCTCAGGGCGACCCTTCATCTAGAGTGGAGCACCCACGGGGACACTACTCAAAGAAGAAGAGGCGGTACTTCAAAGTGGCAGCACCGCACAGCTGAGCCTGGGATCAGCTGTGTGGTGCTGATGCTTTGAAACAACAAGGCAGCATTCAAAGGGGCATTGTCACACAGCTGATCCCCAGTACAGCTGTGCGGTGCTGCCCCTTTGAAATGCCAAGGCAGTGTTTCAAAGTGAAAGTGCTGCGTGGAGCCTGGGGTCAGCTGGGGACTCCCAGTTGATCCCGGGTTCTGCACGGCATTTCCACAGAACCCAGGATCAGCTGGGGAGTTTCCCCACTGCCCCTGGGCTCCATGAGGGCGCTTTCCTTTGAAATGCAAAAGAGCCCCCACTGGGCCTTGTAGATTTCAAAGCTGTCATGTCCACATGCCACCCGGGCTGCACGCGGAGTTCCGCATTCCTCCTCCTCCACCGGGGGTTCTTGTACATTTCAAATGAGGAATGCGGAAGTGCCTATCAATTCCATCGACTACTCGACTAGTAAATTAAATGATATTTAACATCCTTAGTCTCTAACAAAATCTGAAAGCAGCTGTGAATCTCATTTTGGAAGAAAAAGGGAAATAAAAATCAAAAGAAAAACTTTTATAATAATAAAAGTCCATATATAGCATTCAAAGAAATAATTTTCTTGTTGCCACTTATATACACTCACCTCTTTGTTTCTTCTGACCCTTTTATATTTATGTTTCTATTCTTTAAAGCATCTTGCAGCTGCTGTTTACTTGTGGATGGCTCGGTACTGATAACAACTCCGTGTATTTCCTTCAAATGGCCAAAGTATACTTTTGCATGACCAAATACTTTAGCACAAAATTCACAACACACACGTTTCTTGAGTCTACCTTCTTTGTGATGAAGCTTCATGTGAGTGCTTAGGCTCCCTGAATGAACATATGCTTTATGGCATATTTGACAAGTATAAGGCCGTCTATTTGTGTGTGTGTTCATGTGATCCTGAAGATGGTGTTTAAATTGAAAGTTGTGGTTACAAACATGGCACTTATGCCATGGCTTAGGTATAGTAGAAAATACATTTCTATGTGGATCATTTGGTTTAGCAAAAGTTCCATCACTCTGTTTATAACATAAATATTTATTCGGAAGCGAATCATTTAAGAAAATGTCTTGTTCTATACAGTCAGGAATCTGAGTCTCTATTATAGCTACAGGAGATATCAGTGGAGCTAAAGGCTGCATAACATCTACAGGTTTTGGCCTAATACTACGATATTTTTTCACTGACTCTGTCTTTCTGTCCTTTGGCTCCTGGAGATCAATTTTTTACTCTCTCTTTACCCTCTCTAAATTTATTAATGATACACTTTCTTCTTTTGGTGTGAAATGCCAATATATCATCTGGAGTTCTTAGTTTTCTGCCTCTTCTGTTACAGGCTATACCACTCAATTTTTTAAGATTATCAACGTCCAGTTTATTGGCTGGACTGAAGGTATTTTCACAGGTGGCTTGTTTGGACACTTCTGCAAAAGATATAGCTAGTAGTTTATCATAAACTCTGGTAGAAACATTAAAGGTTTTCACCAAGGATGGTATTTTTTCACATTCAGATCTTTGCCCAGAAGTAGATGCAGCCACAGAGTTAGAATTTTGTTTAGATGTATAGAATATTGCATTTTTCATTCTTGAATATGGCAAAATAGGAAGTTTTTCTTTTGGTGAGGACTGAGCCAATTGAGCTACATTGCTTAATACTGATGGTGACAGTACAGTGACAGAATTTGCAGAATTCACCAGTTTTTCTTTAAGTTTCTCAGACATTATGACTGAGCCTTTGGTGGTTTCAATAGTTGATTTCAGTAGATTTATTTTTACAGAATTACTTGCATTCATTGGGTTGGACAAAGGCTTCTTAATAACAGATGGTCCCAACATACTATCTTCAGCAGTTTTTGTTTTGTTTAGTAAAGGAGATCCAGATGTCTCTCAGTTGTTTTCCCTGGGTAAAGTAGCAACAGTAATTTTAGTAGAGCCACGATCAATTAAAATAACTTGTTCAGATAAATCTGTAGCAGAATGAGTTTCAGGAAGATCTCCTGTTGCTGGTATCTTTGACGAAATTTGTGCTATCGTAGGAATCTTGTTATATGCACTTGAAGAAGACGTTTGAATTGTTTTGTCAATCAGCAATTTATTTTTTATAGATTGGTACCTAGGAATAGGTAGTTTGAGATTTTTAGGAATGGGCATGTTTGATTGTTGGATTTGTTGTGCTGCCATTGCAGGAGTAATATGTGGCAAAGCTACAAGAGAAAAAGTTCCCTTGTGACCAGCAACTTGCATTAGAGTATAGTTTTGTATTGGCATTATAAGAGGTTTAGCGCTTGTAGCTGAAATAGGATTAGTTTGTTCAGGATAAGCAGGTGAAAGACAAGACACCACTTCTGATGTTATAACTTTAGGTACCATCTTTGGTGCAATAGTTCTATATTGACTTGTATTCTGAAAACTGTTTCCACTTCTTATTATCCCAGAAGAGGCTTTCTCTTTATCTGAAATAATGAGATAAAACACACAAACATGTAATATAATTTATAACAACTTTTTAAAAGAACTTTACCATAAAAGAACTTGTATAGGATGGATTCCATTTCACAAAATCTTATTAGAAATATCTGCTATGTAAAAAAACCACCACTAGCTTTTGTGTAGAACTATTCACTTGTCATAGACAAATGGAAACACTAATAAACTTGAGAAGATTCTAGTAATGTTTTTAGTTATATTCAAGCCCCTTTGTTTTCAGTTTAAACTGATTTGTACTGAAAAATTCCTGGGTTGTATAAAATATTATTCATTTTTTCTGCTTTCACCCTACTTTTGTATCATTCAAATATATAGAGATCACTTGTTTTAATGAGAAAATGAAATACATTGCATGAGATGTATGTATTACAATAATACATTAATCTGTATATGCAAAACTGCCTTTTGAAGTAAGGCTGTGTATTAGTCTAGAACACGGCGACTCAACACGTGGCCCGCTTGTTTACAGCCCATGGTGCAGTTTGGATTTACACGGGGCTCAACACATGGCCCACGGGTGGGATCCTTTGAACATGATTGCCACTGAGAACATGCTCCACAACAGCGAGGCATCTCCTAGGCAAGGTGAGCACTTAAAGACACCAGTGGACAGGCTGGCTGGAACAGATGGGTACAGGGTGTCGGTGTTTCTAGCGCCCTGGCAGGTACCGAGAGTGCCGGGGCATTGTGGGAAGTGCTGACTGCTTAGCTTGTGGGCAAAGCCTGAAAGGTGCTAACTGGCTCACACTGGCCATGTTTGGGTCTGATGCCATGGATTAAGGCTTAATCTTTGTATTCATGCCCATTAGTGTGAAAGAAGCTATTTGCATATATTTGCATGTATAAGCAACCACACTTAAGTTGCAGCCCTCGGCATGTGCCATGAGTATTATTGTGGCCCCGGGGCTTCCAAAGTTGAGTAGCCCTGGTCTAGAAAATACAATAAATAGGCATGCACACAAGCTCTAAAGTGGGTATACATCTGAACGTACTGACGAAGTTCTTGCCTGTCATGTACACATTCAAGCTGTTAGCAGAAAAATATTTAAAAATTTGACACACTAAAACGGGAAGAAAACAAAAATCTGTATCAGAATACATTTCAGAGCAAGAAAGTATTGAAAAATTAAAAAAACAAAAACAAAAAAATCCAAAAAACAAAAATAGGAGAAAAGGATGAAGTTGACTATATGCACTTCAAATGGTGTGGCCCAATGATTAAATGTAAATACTTACAGCCTAATAGTGTTAAGTCTACAACAGTAAACTGTTTATTCAAATAAAAAGTTTTATTTAGGCAATAAATATTGATAAATTCCCAGGAAAAAATAAATAAAATAACAAATGAATACAAAAGGCCCTAGCTATACTTAACACCAACAAACAAAAATGTTAGTTTCTTTTCCTCTGCTCACTAACCCTAAAACATTTTCCACTTCCCATCATTCACTCCCTTCACTTTCAGCACACATCTTCATTGGCCTCTTCTAACACTAGAAAAAATGGTATAAATATTCCAATAACAATACCTCTGCACTGGTATTAGGATTGGTGTACATGCTCGTGTAGATAGGCTCAGGTGTTTTTATTACAGTAGCATGCAAATCTGCTTAGTGCAGTTGCAACTGTTGTGGATTGTGTCTACAATAAGAGTACATTTTTTTTTTAGTTCAAGCACATCTAACTTGAGCATACCTTTTTACCTGAGTCATGCTATATTACAAATCCTTTTTAACACTTGTGGGATTTTGAGTTATAGACAGAAGTTCACAGATATTTCAAAAATTACTGCTACAAAACATTAAGGTAACAGAATAACGAAGTACCTTATGATTAAAAGCACTGCCACCAAAAACTCATAATCACTCTTATTTCTAATCTTTGAAGTGATGCACACGTTCACTGCATAGCATCAGAATTCCACTTAAAGCTATGGTTGTAGTTCTATGCCCTTTTGGAGCTCCTTTTTTAAAACTATTCCTCAGACTTTTACATTTCTACATGTTTTTAAAATTAAATCACAGACATTTTTTAAGCGATTCAACTCCTTTTTGAAGTGTTAATAGATGAACAAAGAAAAACACACTGATAAAGAACAAAGCAAATATACAACAGAAGAGAGTTAAAATATACAAAAGGTAATGGATATGGACCAGCAGAGGCATACGCCTATTTTTCAGGTGTTATAGGAAAAGACATTAAACATGCATTGCATTACACCATTGCTATTTTCACATCACAGCTAATTTCCTATCAATTAATAAATGTGTCCTCTGACATCTCAAATTAGCACAGCCTGAGATTATTGCATAAAAGTTTCCCTCGCTTTCTAAGGAGGAGGATGAACCACATGTTCCTGCTGGCTGATTTAAGCCACTACCTGTAATAGAATAGTTGTCATCTAGACCACTAGATGCCCAGTTTCTAGAAATGCAATCTGCTCAGGTCCTAAGCCTACCTGAAAGAGAAAGATGTGGAATTAGAAAAATTCAGACTTAAACAGAGGAATTAGTCAAACAGAAAATATAAAAAATTAAGTAATGTTGAAGGCTACAAGACATGTCATAAATGTTCAGAGCGTATTACCATGGAGTTGTTTAGAAGTTTCTGTTATTATACGAACATCATTACAAATCTACAAAAACTAAGTGTACCTTTCTTTTAATACTGTCAACTCTAGCTTTTTATCCTTACTTAGCATATTCTCCACCTATGTTCAGCACCTTACCAATTCACATTACAAATTACATACATTATTTTTTAAAATACATATCATTTTAATCCCCCCCCAAGTCAGTAATAGAGAGGATTTTTCACTAGAAACCACTGCTTTTTCAGAGCCATTGAGCACAGAATCAAAGTGAAAAATCCCTATTTACTCTTAATTCACAAGCTCTAAACTGTTAATATTATTGGTACGATTCAGGCTTTTTGCTATTTACACACAATTGTTGTTATTTAGATAAGATTTCATGTGAGTTTTGAGAATAAATATAACATGACTATGTGGATTAATGTAATCATTAGTTCAGGCACATAATGTTGAACTATAGGCTAGATTCTGAACTTGAAAGTTAACAATGTAGGTCAACATGCCTGTATTATTTAATTTCAGTGATTAAAGGAGCACTGTATTTTTCTTTTAGAGGGTAGATTCTGTTATTTACTATGTTACCTCCACCATCGATGGATTGTCAGAGTTCCTACACAATAGATGATTTTTTTAGTTTATTATGGTACAATGTGGCTTCCAATATCCCTTCACATTTGGCTTCCTCTGTGCCCTCCATGTTCTTATTCTAAAGTCCCATTCCATGAAGTTCACATTCTGAGAAGGATGACAACTAGATTTTTGTTGGCAGAGATGCTATAGTTTTATTTAGTTGGTCTCAGATCATTAGAGAGCCAAGGCAGGTAAGACAGTATCTTTTATTGGACAAACATCTATTGTCTTGAGTTTACACTGAGATCTGCCAAATAAGTTCTTTCTCTCTACCTGAATCAAGATGACGTAGCTGAGATAAAAATCTCACTAACTCCTTATGACTAATAATATTCTGAAGAAACCTTATAAAATTAGGTTAAACTTTACTGAATATATGTTTAGCATCTTTGGGCTTCATCGTATTACACATGAAAATATTTACAAACTATTGTGGGATTATATGGAACCTCTTTAGTTGGAAGTCTTTGGAAAGGACTGTAAATATCAGAGCAATGTGAATTTTTAAGATTAAGGGACTTTCTCTAGGAGTAATGGGCATATGCTAATATAATTCCTCTTTTTATCAACCCTTTGGAACCTCCCCTGGAGACCGAGAGATCCATTGCATATAGTCTGCTTTAGGGAACTCCTTGATCTGTTTAAAGTATGGACTAAACGTGTCGTGTGAGTGTGCTTGTTCTGAGCTAAAGCTCTGATGAATTTATAATCACAAGGAAGCCCATAAGGTGGGGTACTGAAAAACTGTTCTGGACAGACCCCATGTGAGAGGTGGAAATAATAAAGTTTTTAAAAAAAATTGGTGTGAAAATGTCTTTCCATTCCTTTCTACTGGAAACCGTTTAACAGACTTCAAAGTAGAGGGGAGGAAGGAAGGGTAGTGGAGCATCCATAGGGGGACATCTCAAAGATCCATTGTTACTGCAAAGGGTGAGTAACTTCCTCTTTTCCTTCGAGAGATGTCCCTAGGGTGCTCCACTCAGGTGACTAACTAGAAGTACCCGTCGCTTGTGGTGATTGGTATTGAAGTCAGCTGTGAAAAGAGACAAGGACCGGACTGGCTAAAGTGGTGGTAGGTATACGTCCCTGCTGTAGAGCACCGTGCTGTGCAAAGGTGCGATGGGAAGACCATGTCACTGCTCTACAGATATCTGTGAGGGGTACATTATACAAGAAAGCAGTTGATATAGTCACCATGCGGGTGGAGTGAGCTGTGATAACCTACGATGGTTACCTCTTATGAATCTGGTAGGAAGTATACATGCAATTAGAAATCCACTTGGAGATACTTTACGTGGAGATGGCTATTCCCTTGTAGGGTCTGGACAAAGATATGAAGGCTGTCCCCCTTGTAGGGACACAGACAAAGTCTGTGATTTTCTAAATTCCTTGGTCCTATCTATATAGAATGCAAGGGCCCATCTAGTGTCCAAAGTATGCAGTATTGCTTCCCTTGGGGAGCTGTGAGGTTTTGGAAAATAGGTGGAGAAATATATGGGCTCATTGAGATAAAAATCTGATATTTTAGGAAGGAAGTTGAGGTGAGGTCTGAGGATGATTTTATATTTGGTAAAAACAGTATACGTCAAATGAGCCATTAGGGCTGAAATTTCGATTACCCTTCTTGCAGAGGATATTGTTACTATAAAGGTTACTTTCATAGCTAGACGTAGTGGGGAGGCAGTAGCTAATGGCTCAAAGGGTGGTGTTGTGAGTGTGCCAAGCATGAGCTTTAAGTCCTAA